GTCTACTGTCAGACCCCTGGTTAAAGAAAACGATGCGCAGGGGCTACGCTCTGCAGTTCGCACGGAGACCACCGCCGTTCCAGGGCATTCGTGCGGTGCGCCCTACAGATCGGGAGACAGAAGAGGCGCTCCAAATGGAGGTCGCCTCCCTGTTACGCAGAGGCGCCGCGGTCCTGGTGGACCCTCGGGACGCCTCCAGAGGCCTGTACTCCCCGTATTTCCTGGTCCCCAAGAAATCAGGGGGGGTGCGCCCTATATTGGATCTGCGCACTCTGAACCAGTGCATTTCCAAACGGCCCTTTCGGATGCTTTCCACAAAACATCTGTTAAGTGCGTCAGGCCCGGGGACTGGATGTCAACCATAGACCTGACGGACGCTTACTTCCACGTTGCCATAGTACCGGAGCACAGACGCTTCCTGCGCTTCACCGTGGGAGGGAAGTGTTACGAGTACTGTCGCCTCCCCTTCGGTTACGCTCTGGCCCCACGCACCTTCTCCAAGTGCGTGGAGGCGGCGCTGGAACCACTCAGACGCGCAGGGATCAGAATCCTGACTTATATAGACGACTGGCTGATTCTGGCCCCGTCTCTGGAGCAGGCCACCATTCACACGCACTGGGTCCTGTCACACGTGCAGCGCCTAGGCTTTGTGGTGAACAGGGAAAAGAGCAATCTGCAACCCGCACAGCGCTTAGTCTATCTAGGTCTACAGCTAGACTCGGTGGAGTTTCGGGCAGCGCTCTCCCAGGACAGACGCTCGAGCATCACGCGTCTAGCTCAGGAAGCGCTGACCTCTCCCACAGTGACCGCCCGACGAATACGGTCTCTATTGGGGATGATGGCATCAGCTCATGCAGTGGTGCGGCTAGGTCTCCTTCACTTGAGACGTTTCCAGAGGTGGTTCTCCCGTCTCCGACTACATCCCACAAGAGACGGGGGCAGAAGGCTCATTGTTCCTCCAGGAGTGGCCGAGGACCTGAGCTACTGGCTCACGCCCGGTCTGATGCTGGAAGGAGTTCCCCTGGTAGGTGCCGTGGCACACGTGGAGGTGTTCACGGACGCGTCTCTGGAGGGATGGGGGGGGGTTCTGCACCAGAGCTCTGTGGGGGGCGCCTGGTCAGGCCCTCTTCGTCACATCAATCTGCTGGAGATGGAGGCGGTTCACAGGGTGCTTCTGCATTTCGCTCCACAACTAGCGGGGAGACACGTGATGGTGCGCTCAGACAACACCACAGTGGTGGCGTATCTGAACCGGCAGGGGGGCACGAGGTCCCCAGCCCTCCACCGACTGGCAGCGACCATTCTGATCTGGGCTGCAGGGCATCTGCAGTCTCTGAGAGCGCGTCATGTTCCGGGAGACAGGAACACAGGGGCGGACATAATGTCACGGGGAGGCCCTCTCGAGGACGAGTGGGGCCTCGACCCGCAGATGGCAGCGGAGGTCTGGCAGAGGTTTGGTCGGCCTGTGGTCGACCTGTTCGCCAGTGCAGACAACGCGCAATGCCCGCTCTGGTTCGCACTGAGACCCACGGACAATCCGCCTCTAGGGGTGGATGCCTTGGCTCATTATCCGTGGCCAGGGGGCCTGTTGTACGCCTTCCCCCCCCCTCGTCTCCTACCGATCCTACTGAGGAGGATCGAGCAGGAAGAGCGGGAGGTAATCCTGGTCGCCCCAGACCGACCACAGGCCCGTTGGTTCCCGTTCCTGACCAACATGTCTGTGATGGACCCGTGGCCTCTCCCGGACGTGCCAGGGGGCCTGGTCCAGGGAGGGGGGACGCTTCGCTCCCGCCCAGTCCTGGGCCACAGGCTCTGGGTTTGGAAGCTGAGAGGCAGAACCTAGTCCGACTAGGCCTCCCCCGGGCGGTGGTGGATACCATCCAAGGGGCGAGGGCACCTTCCACCGTGAGGGCTTACGGGTGCCGGTGGAAGCTTTTCAAAGACTGGTGCGCGGCCCACTCGTGGGACCCCAGGTCTTGCCCTCTAGAGGGCGTCCTGGGATTCCTGCAGGACCTTTTGGATAAGGGCAGGGCCGCTAGTACCTTGGCTGTGTCCGCTTCGGCCATTGCCTCTGGTCACGAAGGGTTCGGGGGGTTTTCAGCCCGCTCCCACCCGTTAATCAAACGCTTCCTTCGGGGGGCCTACAGGAAGAGGCCGGTCCTTAGACGAACACCTCCGATCTGGGACCTCAAGGTGGTTTTGAAAGGGCTGTCAGGGCCTCCTTTCGAACCCCTGACCCGTGCCAGCCCAGAATGCGTGGCCTTCAAGACCGCACTCTTATTGGCTCTGGTATCAACCAAGAGGGCGGGAGAACTGTGCGCTCTTTCCATCAGCCCGGCCTGCCTGTCCTTTGGTCCGGGGGATGGGTTGGTGGAGTTGTGGCCCAACCCGGCCTTTCTCCCCAAGGTCGTTTCCTCAACCTTCAGGTCCAGGGTCATACGGATCAGACCTTTTCACCCTCCGCCTCACGCCTCGCAGGAGGATGAGCAAAGACAGCTGTTGTGCCCTATCAGGATGCTGAGGCATTACCTGGAGGTCACGTCCTCTTTCAGGCGCACGGATCAGCTGTTCGTGTGCTTGGGGCCTAAAAACAGAGGCGCCCCGTTATCCTCCCAGCGGCTGACCCACTGGGTGTCCCGGGCGATTCGCTCGGCGTATCAGGCCCAGGGGATGGTGCCCCCGGTGGGGTTCCGAGCGCACTCCACTCGGGGCGTGGCGGCCTCCACAGCTCTGCTACGAGGGGCCTCGGTGGAGGAGGTATGCCAGGCTGCGTCCTGGGCTTCGTCTTCCACCTTTGCTCTGTCTTACCTGGTGGATGTTTCAGAGCGGTCTGTTGCTCACTCCATCCTGAGCTCTGGGACTGATGCGACCGTGTCTGGCTCTCTCTGAGGCTTCTGCGGTCTATGTTGTCTGGAGCGGCCGGCCCCTCCTGGAGCTCTTGATAGAGGCGTCCTGGGCTCAGCCTTCTCCTTCTTCCTTCGCGGCTTTGTGCAGTCCTCAGGTGCTCTTGGTAGAGGCGGCCTGGGACTGTTCCTTGTTCCCCTACGGGGGCGCGCGCGGTGTTCCTCAGGAGCTCTTGATAGAGGCGTCCTGGGAAGTGACCTTCGCCCTTGGGCGTTTGGTCAGAGACTTGGCTGTTCCTGGAACGGCCTCCCTCTTGGATTCTGTTAGTGCTTCGGGCGTCCTTGATAGGAGCGGCCCTACCACTGCTTCACCTTTGAGCTTATCCTTGGGCGTCCTTGATAGGAGCGGCCCCATCACTGCTCATTCCCTGTCTGTCTTGAGTTCCCACACCTTGGAGGTGTTAGGGCCTACTCGGCAGGGCTCCAATCACTGCTAGCTGGCCTGATGGGAGTACATACTCTTAGGCTACGCTTCGTTACCCAAAGCGAGCCTAAGGGGCGTAGCACTATGAAGTAGAATTGTTAGTTACCTATTGTAACTGTAGTTCTACGAATAGTGCGTAGCCCCTTAGCTACGGGCCCATCAGTCCAACCTGGCTTTGGCGAGTTCAAAGTGAAGAGCATGGACTGCTGTGGGCTATTTATAGGAGGTTCTGCACAGTGATTGGAGCATTGAGTTCTCTCTGGCGGGAAGCTGGTGCTTCTGGAGTCATACCCAAAGCGAGCCTAAGGGGCTACGCACTATTCGTAGAACTACAGTTACAATAGGTAACTAACAATTATTCAAAGAGCACCTAATGTACCAGATCCACATACACTGCTTAATCAATTATGACCAGAGGCTAAAATCTTCTCTGTGATTGATCTCAGCAATGCATTTTGGTCCATTCCAGTGCATAAAGACAGTCAATTTTGGTTTGCATTTACCTTTGAAGGGGAAAGATATGTTTTCACAAGATTAAGCCAGGGGTTCGCTGAATCCCCAACTATTTTCTCTGATGCAATAAAAAATTGTCTTGCTGATTTTAATCCACCGGAGGGAAGCCAGATTTTGAGCTATGTGGATGACATTTTGGTGGCGTCTAAGACAGTTGAGAGCTGTAAAAAAGATACTATAGCTTTACTGAAACACTTGGCTAAAACTGGCAATAAGGTCAGCAAAAATAACCAACAGAATGATTAATACTGCAGTTGCAGACACATTGTTTTCGGATCAATGTCAAGCGTTGTTAGCTCACACAAATGTAAATGATGATTTTGATATTTCTGTATAAGTGTAAGTTTGTTATGAAGGTATTTCAGAAAACTGAGAAGAGATGTAATGCTGGATGTTGAAACTTTACATTTATATATTATGAATAGGGGGGAATTATGTCAATGGAGTATGTTATTGTGTTATTATCATATTAATAAATGTAACGTTTAGTCTAGTATGGATCTAAAAACTAGTAGTAAGCAGAGTGAAGAATGTGTGAAACCATCCCCCAGCCATTAAACACAGGAAGTTAAATTAAGGCAAGAACGCAGAGAACATCTGTTTAGAGTAGCCTCAGGCTTACTTTGAGAGGGGCTACTGTTTGTCCTGAACAGAAAAGGTATTGTCTTCACCTAAGGATGTTGGGACATATGTCTTCAATTATCATGTCATGTGACTGTGTGCTTATCACAGATAGTCTGTTTCTGAAGCGGGGTCTTTTGCTTTGGGTTTGCCAGGGAGAGGGCCCAGACTGGAGCAACCAGTCTGCTACATTTGTCTGTATCCTGTATCCTGTATTCTGTCTTTTATATATTAAACCTTTTTATATATTTAAGCAGAAGTTGTAGTGTCCATTCATCATCGAAGGATAAACCGTGGCTGAACCAGCGTTAACACCAGTAATCCACAATCTTTTTCACAAGATAAGAATCCGCAATCCAGTGAGTGTATTTCAGTCAGCAGTTGCTTCTTTGACTGTGTCTATATATGAATACATTGTTTCAATCGAATAAACTAACAAATAAATAATGGCAATCAGAGGTTATTCAATTGGACTTGTACTGTATTTCCTCCAGCTTGTGCACAACTCGTTTATAAGTAACCTGTGCGTTTTCCCGTACCGTCGGTGAGTCCCAGGATCCACATGGTGTCCAGGGCATCGATGAGGGTCAGGCCCAGGCCGAACCACTCCGCGTGCGACTGGGACACAGGCTTGAGCTCGTCGTGGCCCCAGGCGTGTGCTCTGTAGCCCCTCCACGCGTGTCTGAAGGCCTCGCGCACAGCCTCCTGACGCTGTGCACTCGACAGAACTGGGGACGGAGCAACAGTTTTTTAATATTGTTCCTTATATTTGGACACTCAAACATGCGTCACAAGGGATCATTCATTCACTTTGTATACACGGTGGTGTCAAACTGCTACTGTAGCCACATCTGCCCTGGGGCACAGACAGAACCGAGGCAGCCAGTATGTGCCGTCAGCCCCTCCCACCACTCACACACACACTCTAAACTCACACTCTGCAATGTGTCTTGCCTAAGGACACAAGAGTTGTTTGGCAATTTACAGCCACAGCCGCCCCACTGTGGCACCTGATGTTCCCAGAGGTCTCCCATCACAGTTATAACCAAGCCCGGCCCTGCTTAGCTTCAGAGGTCTGCTGGGATCAGGCTTTCAAATGTATGAGCAGATTTTTATTTTTTTCCCCCCTCTACAAACCTATCAAAGACTTTACATTAAGCCAAAAACAGACATTTTTGGCTCGACACAGTTCCAAAAAGAAGAGCTATAATAAAAAGCAAGAATTGTCAGCTTTACTGCACTTATGAATATGGGTTTCAAAGTGATTATAAATATGGCAGCTTCCTGTTCAAAACATAATACTATATCATTTAAATGGGGGAAAAATATCCTAAAGATTTGGCATGAAAAGAGGGACAGAAACATGGTCAAAGCAGTGAACAGTTATCAGTACGTCATGTCCCCTTTAAGAGGTAAAGAACAGACAGCACTGACAGAGATTTTTGTAATAAATGCCAATTTTCTGCATCAAAAACACAGGTCTTCATGTTTGACAGAGCACTTCCACCCACAGCCCGCCGCCAAACCTCTCATCTCCCTCTTTTTGCACTATGCTTAAGAAAACACGGCTTGTTCTGTCATCAGGAGGGAGGGGGGAAAAACGCTGATTTGTTTGAGGATTTCACCCCTGCTTCACTTTCCTCCATTGTGTTTGAAATGTTCCATTACAGCTGGAACACCATGCTTTAAGAAATGACTGCTTCACTGGTGCGCTTTTGTTTGGGGGCATCCCAGGACGTCCAATCAACGAAATGAAAAATGTGAAGGAGGGACTGCGTTTTAAAACTGGTATTAGTTTTGGAATGCATTGACGTCAGCTGTTGTTCCGGGACAATGCTCCTGTCTGCTTTGAAAAAAACTTATTAAAACCTAGATTTCAAACAGGCAGGTATATATACTGTCAAACCAACCAAAGAACATTTTTCAAGAAATCAACAAATACATTTACAGTAAGCCAGGGGTGTCAAAAATCAAAATTTCCCCACTGTGGGACGAATTAAGGAACTCTTATCTTATCTAATCTTATCTTAAAACTGCTCAAAGGGCTGGTGTGGCTACAGGGGTTCATTCCAACCAAGCAGGAGTGCACCAGACCCCACCCATTTCCTCTAGTTAACCTGAAGACTTGAGGATATGGGTGGAGTCAGGTGTGCTCCTCCTCCCTAAAATGCAGATACAAACTAGGGCAAGTTAACCTATTACTACAACCTCACACATCTGGACCAACACATGACAGGGAGAGGTTTCATGACTGTGATAGAGCTACAGAAGCTGAAGAAGGACATGGAATTGTGTTTTTAAAGTATTTCTCATGGAACGACTGATTGTGTTACTTCTAGAAATGTTCTTAATGGGCCTCGTTTTTAGCTTTCTTCTAGTGTAAAATGTATCATAAGTCCCATATTTGATGGATTTAATGTACTTTCTTCTTCAGAATCGCACAAGCTAAAGGGTTAGCTTTGTCCACCTATATACAGTCTGGTCAAATCAGTCTATAGCAAATCCTCAAACTTTAAAACCAAAACATTTAAAAAAAAAACTGTTTTGCATTTTCTATTATTGCACCAACATATACGTCTCTCCATCCCTCCTTCCTTTTTCCTTGATTACATCTTAATAATAGGTATATATGTGTCCTTCAACCTGGTGTTAATTTTGGTCATGAATAGATATGATTGGAGTGGTTCATTTTTGTCAACTGGAAAATAGAGGAGACACAAAGCTGGGTATACAATTGAATGTTAATTAAAATTTAGAATAATGCATTAAAACAATACAAATTTACAGTCATCAAATGGGAGGTTGCCAGATTCTTGCACAATGGCAAGTGTTGTGCTGGCGGTTTTAAATATATGCAAATGTTGATTATGGAGTATTTTGTCAATGGTCCTCTATAAATCGCAGAGGAAACCTAAAAAGCCTGAATAGCATTAGCATATTTTTAGTCTGAGAATATTTTGGTCCATGTTATATTATCTCTGACCTGACAGCCCAACGGTGTCCATGGATGCGTCTGGTGGGAGCGGGCCTTCTCTCTGATTGGCGGATGGGAGGGGTTCGGTGCCCTGGTCGGCTTCGATCATGGCCCCTCTCCAACTGCGGAAAAAATTATGACAAACCGGTAACTAATTTATTAAGGTACTTTTCAGGCTCTCCTCTCCTCACCCTACTCTACTCTACCCTACTCTACTCTACCCTACTCTACCCTACTCACCATCATTGAAGTATCAAAACAAATCAAACACCATTTTGATTGTATAAGGCTGAAAAAGTAGTGTTTTCTTGTAAATTAACTTTCAATCAGTTTTATTGTAATTATGAAGTAAAATCCAAAAGGACATTTTATTTTCATAAGACTGTGTTGTTTGTATATTACCCCTAATAAAAAAAATAAATAAAAAATTCTAATTCATCCGACTTACCAGAGCATTTAAAAGATACACACCTGACAATCTTCTGGTCCTTGTGGTGTTCCTCCTCGTCCTCCTCGTCCTCCTCGTCCTGCCTCCTCTTCCTGTCTGCTGCTGCTGCTGTGGTTGAAGAGTTGTGTTCTTTCTGGAGGCTCGTGGGGCCTTCCTTAAGGCTCTGTTTCTGATAACACACACAACTAACGCTGTGAAGGTCGAGGCACACAGATAAGAAGAGATAAAAATCTAACGTCATTAAGCCCTGGGTCTCCAAGATGGTGGTCTACTCAAGTCGATAGCCAGAGCTCATTGATGCATGGTTTAAATTTGGGACCAGAGAAACTCAAACTTTAAGGAGCACAGGGACTGGCCTCCTGCTGGTGCCCGGAGTCAGAACTAACCATGGGGGGGCAGCTGAAAGGTGAAACTGGCTTCTACTCTGATCAAGTCCAGGGTAAAACCAGTTCTCTGTAGCAGCTAAAAATCATAATGTATTGTTATTATATATTTCCTTGAGAGTGATTCGTACAATATGGGCGACAGTGGCTCAGTTGGTAGAGCATTGGCCTTTGTTTGTTTGTTTATTAATTTATTTCAACAGGGACAATGTGCAAATACATTAATTAAAGATGCTTTGCACCAGATTTAGCTTGAGCTAGTTTCCATCTGTAGTCCCCTTTGAGCCTGAAGGTCGTGGGTTCGAGCCCACCACAAGACCTACTTCACGTCTCCCACTGATGACTGCTGTCATTGTGTCCTTGGGCAAGACACTTAACCCCACTTAGCCTGAAGCTCCCACTGAAAGTTCAAGGCTCCTGTGGACTCACCACCTGCAGGAGGAACAGTGAGCGACTGGTGCACTGTGTACTGGGTGCAGCTCTGACTGACACCCCCTCGACCCAGAAATGGATTAAGGGGAAGAAAATGGATGGATGGAGAGTGATTCGTACAATACTAAAAAAATTAAGATGAGATAGACTTTATTGATCTCACACTGGAGAAATGTACATGTCACATTTGGCATTGATTGAGGCACTCAGATTGTGCAAAAAGACAGAAGTGCGCAATCATGTTAAAGATAAAAAAATAGTTGCTGTGCAGGCAATAATTATCTGAAAAACAACAAAAATATCCATTGTGAAAGTTCTCCCCAGCTCCAGAGGCCAAAGGGAAAGAGGCCACAGCAACAACAAAGGGATGCGGCTCGTCAGGATTCTCACCATAATCGCAAAGAATGGTGAAAGTCAGGACCAACTAGACTGTGACAGGTTTCTGTGTCTGAAAAGGTCTTTTTGTATTTAGGTCGCCAGAATACATTCATACTGATTTACCTGATTGTAATGTTGACCTTTTTAGAACTCACTCCCGAATGTTTAGTTGCATAATTCATTATCTTTAAAAATGTGGGTTAACCTTTTGGTGTTTTATGGAAAAGGCAACTCAAACGGATCAGATTGAAAAGGCCAATTTGTGCGAGAATATGTCATTCATTACGACAAGAGGCATGGATAAGATGAGCCTTTATTGTTTTCTTGAGCACTAGCAAACAAAGACAGACTCTAAGGCCCTGTCCTGAGAAAGCAGAGAGAGCGTACAGAGAGAGAACAGAGAGAGAGCAGAGAGAGAGAGCAGAGAGTTAGAGAACGGAGAGAGAGAGAGACCAGGTGAGACCAGATAGAGTGGGACAAGAATTAAACCAGAGAGAGAGAGAGCAGAGAGAGACAGAAAGCAGGGAGAGAGACCAGAGAGAGAGACCAGAGAGAGAGAGACCAGAGAGAGAGACCAGAGAGAGAGACCAGGGAGAGAGACCAGAGAGAGAGACCCAGAGAGAGAGACCAGAGAGAGAGAGACCAGAGAGAGAGACCAGAGAGAGAGACCAGAGAGAGAGACCAGGGAGAGAGACCAGAGAGAGAGAGACCAGAGAGAGAGACCAGAGAGAGAGACCAGGGAGAGAGACCAGAGAGAGAGACCCAGAGAGAGAGACCAGAGAGAGACCAGAGAGAGAGACCAGAAAGAGAGACCAGAGAGAGAGACCAGGGAGAGAGACCAGGGAGAGAGACCAGGGAGAGACCAGAGGGACACCAGGGAAAGACACCAGTGATAGAGACCAAGGAGAGAAAGCAGCCAGAGACCAGAGAGCGATTAGGGAGAGAGACTAGGGAGAGAGACCAGGGAGAGAGACCAGGGAGAGAGACCAGGGAGAGAGACTAGGGAGAGAGACCAGGGAGAGAGACTAGGGAGAGAGACCAGGGAGAGAGACCAGGGAGAAAGACCAGGGAGAGAGACCAGGGAGAGAGACCAGGGAGAGAGACCAGGGAGAGAGCCCAGACGAGACATTTCTGGTGAACTAAAGTAGCGCTCCTACTAAAAAGTGTGGTCATCCAGACTTCAGAAATGTAAGCTACTCTGACCTTCGGTGGCAGCTGTGAGAGGACAGGAGCATCCGGCCCCTGGGGAGCTGCGACTGCCCCTGGACCCGGTTCCGGCTGTGGCTCCTGGGGGCCCGGGACAGGTCTGACCCCTGGGGGAGGAGGGGGGTCCAGAGCTCTGTGGCTCAGGTCCAGCCAGTCCGAGTCTGAGGGGTCTGAACACAAGAGGAGAGAGAGGCACACACCCGTCACAAACTGAGCCGTTTATTGACTACAACATACAGAAAGTGAAACTAAACCAGGGGGAAGCACATCCTTTTGAATTTTTGCCATAGATCATCGTGTTTTTTCACAAAATGTACAAACAGTTCTTCTTCAAATTTTTACTCAGAGTTTTTCCCTCTCGTCTTTACAAAACAACTCAAGCTCGGCGTTTTCTGTTTTTTTATCTCCAATTATTCCATCACTTAATTCAAAAGTTAAGTCCGGACTCTTAAACCGAATAATAGTTGACTCTTCTAGCCCCTGTTACAGCTTCTTCCTTCTGGCAGAATATATCATTTGCTGAGATTTTGCTTAACAAGTTTAAACAAAGGCAATTGTTTCTGTACTTGTATTATTCCTGTACTTTTAGTCTGTTGTATCATTATTACTACTATTAGTTTCATTTACTGTATGTACTTGTGCACACTGGGATACTTTTTCGCACATGTATTCCAATGTGTTGTTTTACTGCAAAGTGCAAATAAATTGGAATCTGATGCGAGTTCTTATTACGGATGGTTCCTTTGAAGTTTATGGCATGAATGAATTTGGGGATGTTGCGATCAAGATTATTAGTCTGCGTTCATTTCCAATAGAGTGATTGATCATGTACCTGATGTCCAGTCAAGCAAAGTCCTCAGAGATAACTACTGTTGTGATTTAGGGCTATACGAAAATTATTTCAATTGAATTGAATTGAGGTGACTGTCTTTGTCTAATCCTATGAGTAGAAGTCTTCATGAACTATTTGAACCCCTCCTTTAAACCCCCAGACTTCCACTTGTTGCCCAAAGTGAACCAAAATTATAACAATCAAAGTGAACCACATTGACAAGTGAATGATAGAAAAAAGTCAAATCCAAAAGTTTGTGATGTTTTTCGTAAAATTGTGCAAGAGTTTAAGTTTTAGTAAGTAAGTAAGTCATGTTTATTTTTATAGTTCATTTTACAGACCAAGGTCACCCAAAGAAATTCTTCAATTCTCTCCACACAATGATGACGGAAGCAAGACCCCGAACACACTGGAGCATGAAAGCCCCCAACCAACACCATTCACTCGCTCATTACGAGGAAACCTACGCAGACACGGGGAGAACATGCAAACTCCACACAGAAAGGCCTGGAGGTGGAATCAAACCCAGGACCTTCTCGCTGTGAAACACAAGCTCTAACCGCTGCGCCAGCACCTTGTATCTGGCACTTCCACAAAAGCCACCGTCGGTCCAAGTAAAGTCCCAGATCACGAAACAGGACGTGAAGAGTGTGTACCTGTCCAGTGCGAGAGACTGGGGTAGAACAGCAACCCGATGACCAGGAGCAGAGCCACCAGACACAGGACGAGGCTCCGCTGCAGCCGCGACAGCTGCTTCCACTTCTGAAACACGAAAGACAAAACTGCAATTCAATATCTTTAAAAACACACATTTACCAGCGTTTTGATTAAAGGAGTTTTTAAATAGTCCAGCCGCCCATGCAGATCAAAACATCAGCAAATCCCACATAATGCTGCCTTTTAGATGGGAAAGAAATTAGCAAACGCCGGCAAAACCAAATGATGCAATGCTGTTTCAATCCAAACTAGGACATGGTTAAACCGAGATGACTCAAGGTTTGATCTCTCTTTACTTGATTAGGAGCAAAAAAAACGGTTTCTACATGTCAGACGAAACGTGGAGAAAAGATTAAGGGTGGATTAAAACAGCTTTATGATTTGTATCGTTATGATTAAAAACTAATATTCTGTAACAATCAGACATTAGTCTAGGCCCACCGAGATTTCAGAATGTCCCAGAGGAGCCTAATTGAAAGGTGGTAGATTTAGGACACCATGCTAAATTAAGATTGATTTTCCTTAATTAATGATCAAGTCTTTTTTCCTTTTTTTTTAGGCTGCAAATAAACGTTTGATAAAGGCTAATGCTAATGCAATAATTAGCAATTAGGACAAGTGCTGATGTCACTACAGTGTTTGCCAAATGAGGAAGAGGTAGAGATTTCAACAAAAGCTAGCAGGAGGCAATTTCCTCTGTTTGTTCCAATGGAGTTAGCTTTGCGCCGTAACTGCCCCCGCAAATGAAGGCATCTGATTGGTCAATCCTTAAATGACTGTGACATAGTGTATTTTACAGACCAAAGTGACAAAGTAATTTACAATTTTGGTGCACCCGTAATTCCCATTCTCTCCACACGGCAATGATAGAAGCGAGACGCCGAACACACACATATCAAAACCTCCGACCATCGCCATCACTCTCTCATTACATTCACCTATTAGCGGTAGGGAGAACCGGAGCACCTGGAGGAAACCTACTAAGACACGGGGAAAACATGCAAACTCCATAGAGAAAGGCCTGGAGTTGGAGTTGAACTAAGGGCCTTCTTGCTGTGAAGCACAAGCCACCTTGATTAAATTCTGCATCCTTGATTGTGTTTTGAAAGTGTGGTGTATTGTGTTAAGCAGGAGCAATGTTAATGAGCTCGCTCTAAAAGGTAGACAGTTACACAGTGCATTAATAATACAAAAAAAGAGCGTAAATGCCATTCACGGATCAGAACACAAAACACTGAGCCTTTGAAGTTAAAACGTGACACATTTTCTGCAGAATTCTACCCTGGATCGAGAGCCGTACTTCTGCCAGACAGCCCCGGGGCAGCTGTGGTTACATGACTGCCACATTTGGATTCATTAAAGCAGTGTTTTTCAACCACTGTGCCGCGGCACACTAGTGTGCCGTATGATATTGTCTGGTGTGCCGTGAGAAATTCGTCTACTTTGTCTAAAAATAACTGCATTCGCTGTTGACGAGCGGTGACTTGTTTTGAACTGTGGAGTAACCATGTAATACTTTTTCAAATCAGTAGATGGCAGCAGATAGCTAAGAACTTTGAAACTGAAAAATTGGATGCGACCACTGGCTGTAACAGGTCAGCATTGTGGCGAGAAAGGTAAAATTGGATGCGACCAACAAATGTGGGAGGGAGCGAGACAAGAACTTTGTGGCGAGTGAGAAGTGAAAGTGATAGAGACGTTTTTGAAAATGAATTATGCCGTTTCTGAACAGGATTAACATCCTCCGCTCTGCCCCGGGGCAGCTGTGGCCGCGTTGTAGTGGTTTAACTATGAAATGTACAATTTTTGTACAACAGCTCTCGCGAACGCACTTCTGAACTGGGTACCGAGCGCAGACCATAGTCGAGTGGACAGAACCACAGACATGCGGACCGGACAGAACCATGGACTCGCGTTCAGGACCTCCCGTGTCCCTCATCCAAAACTCCTGAATTTAAAGCTCGGATACCTAAATTTTTCCCATGCACTAACAATGCATGTTCTTTGTGTGAGTTATTATTTGACTATTTGGGCAGAGAGTGGATTTTCTTAGTTTTTTTCCACACAGTTAGTGCCACTTTATTCCCAAACTCTTGTTAATTGTATCGAGAAATATTAAATAAAGCTTAATGTCAAGGCCTGGACTTAAGCATTTTGATTAGAATAACTGTATATTGTGAATATAGGCTACAGAGTATACTGTTTACATTATAAGATAAGATAAGATATACTTTATATATCACACAGAGTATGTACAGTATATATTTTTTTACATTAGTACTGTATACATTTTTACATTTTCTCCTGGAGGTGTGCCGCAAGATTTTTTCAGTGAAAAAAGTGTGCCTTGGCTCAAAAAAGGTTGAAAAACACTGCATTAAAGTATGCTTTGTCAATTTCAGCAGTCAGGAATTGGTTTATGAATAATAATAGTATAGGGGAGGATTGTGCGCCAGAGAAGGCTGGCAACTCTGATGCAATGTCTAGTCAATTTCATGCTTTTGAGAGATTTTTTTTTTCTTATGGGGCAGTATTAACTATACCACACACAGAATATTCATTTAGCAACATTTTTGTGCCTGTGCGTGTGTGTGTGTGTGTGTGTGTGTGTGTATGTGTGTGTGTGTGTGTGTGTGTGTGTGTGGGTGTGTGTGTGTTGGGTATTGATTCCTGTCTTTGTGTTGTTATGTAGTGTGTGTCTGAATGGCTGGGAGTGGATTCAATTGATGTGAGCCTATTGCCTCTACCCTTTTCAAACCACGTTATAGGTATTTTAGTTTGATTTTATTACTATTTATTTCGGTAATTGTTGATATATTTTATGCATGTTTGAAATAAAAACTCGATTTCCTTTGCTAAAACCTTTTTTCCCAATCTTTGTCAGTGATTGTGTGAAACCCTTTATAAATAAATGTGTTTGCTTTTGCCAAAATTGTGTAAACAGATCAGAAGTCTCCATCCCCTAGTTCTCAAAAGCCTGTTGTTCTATGAAAGCTTGCCTCCAGTTCCTGTAAATTCCAGGGTTAGAATAGAATTTGAAAATAGACCACGTTTATTAGACAATAATATAGCTTCAATCAACCAACAGAGGAGGTGTTTCACTTAAAGATGCAGTAAGTGATGTTGTTAGCTTAGCCGTAGCACCGACTGGAAACCACTCCCCCCTCCTCTCCACCAAACCAAACATCCAGAATTTTCTTTTCTTTGTCACAACAGGGAGAGTGGGCGGCAAACGTGAAATTGGCATTTTCTGTGCAGCCCTTTAAGGTTTTAGAAAATAATCCGATAACTCAAGTACATGCACTCACGAGAAACAGGAAGAGGGTGAAGGGGGTAAACGCATCCCATTGGTTTATTTTCATCGGTCCGCTCCGAAATATTTGGAGACTATACAGGCATCTGGTCAATTCCATTACTATTTAAAAACACATGATGACTACTTTTAGGATTTAGGGACGTCTTTCCACAATATCTAAAAAAAAATGCATCTGGAAAAAAATCACTTACTGCATCTTTAAGGATCTTTAACACTGGGACTCCCACAATTACTTGAACCTAGCTGACCAGTTTCATTAGTAGTAATTGATTTACAGTATTAGGGTTTTACTTTATTACATTTCCAGTGGCCAATGCACGGCCAGCCTCTTTTTCAAACCGTTTATTCCTGTTTATTTTATATCTTGTATACTATTGATATTGGGGGTTTTTTGCATAAAGTTGGAAATAAATTCTTACTATACTATACTTTTACTTAGAGCTAAAACTGGTGAATATTTTAAACCATGTATTTGTTAGTTGTATATTATACAGTATATGTAAATATCTGTGTTGTGCAGGTACAAAATACGTAATCAGATCTAAATCTATATAACTGAAATATATAAATGCAAACTTCTGACTGTAAACGGTGTGTTTCTATGGTAACTAGCACTCGCACTTCTCTGGTGGAAAGACAAGCAGAACCAGGACCAGTCCAGTAGTAGAACCAGTCTAAGATCCATCGAGAACCAGTCCAGTTCCAGGAACAGGACCAGTCCAGAACAAGTCCAGTACCAGAACGAGTCAAAGATCAGGACTTTAACTGTGTCTTTTTTGTAAATGTAGTTTAGTTTGGCAAAGTTAAAAAGACCACAAAGAAACATCAGCTGAGTTATTAAACTTCCAAACAAAAAGCTGTTAAACTGACAACATTAAAACGTGACGAGTGAACAGTTACAGGCACAACTGTAGCCATCTCTTGGGGACACAAGCAGCAGCTCTGCAGACTCCAGCCCCATGGATAATTCATTTCTATTCTTAACGCAACAGACATGTTTTCTACCGTCTGTCACAATCACATAACATAACACCAGAATGTCACCTTGCACACACTAGCTGTGACACTTGTTCACGGACGCAGCCGAAAAGCTTTCAGGTGTAATACCCAGACAATGAGTGTGGGGACTCATTCCAGGTATCTCAGTCAACCGATGTGTGTGTACTATATAGAGACAGAGAGAGAGGCCAGAGAGAGACCACAGAGAGACCAGAGCGAGATCAGAGAGATTCAGAGAAAGACAGAGACCAGAGAGACCAGAGAGAGACAAAGACAACAGAGAAAGAGAGGCTAGAGAGAGACCAGAGAAAGACCTGAGAGAGACCAGAGAGAGAACACAGAAAACGCAGAGAGACCAGAGAGATTCAGAGAAATACAGAGAGACCAGGGAGAGACAAAGACCAGGGAGAGGCCATAAAGTGACCAGAGAGAGACAGAGAGAGACCAGGGAGAGACAGAATATCTGTAGCTTCAGCATTTGTGGGTCTAACTAGTCAGCAATATACTGTATTTCCATGCATTTTTCCACTAATTCGATGAATCAACAGAGATTCCACGAAAAAACATAAAAAAGTCTGTGTGACCCCCAACCTCTAAAAGATCAGAAGGCCATTTCATGTTCGAAGCATTTAAACTTATGATTGAACTTTGCCTTTACCTTAACTTGGCTTTTCACACACACCACAAGAACACGGATAAAAGTGACATCTAAGGACTATCCTTCACACTCAAACACGGCATAAAAAAAAAAAAATAGATTTAGATCCATCCAAAGATTTTCACAAAGTTTTAACAAAATGTGTCATAGACTAATGAAGTCAGCCGGAAGAATAAGCAAGTTTGTATTCAGGACTACAGCTCGTGGAAAGACATGGATGATCAATTGTTATGAAAAATAACAAATAGAAGAGGTGTTTTTCTTGAGACGAGAAAAAACAGGAGCAGCCACAAACAGAGGAAACAGAAGTGTGGGTGTGAAAGCTGAGAACAAAGAGGCCCAAGAGATTATGGAGCCAATGGAGGTGCTTATCCCACTGTGGACATCTAATGCACAGGATACACACAGACACACGGAGGCGAGGAGAGGGCTTTCATCTGGAGAGGGAGAGGGCAGGGTGAGAGGCAGGGAGAGGGAGAGGCAGAGGGAGAGGCAGAGGCAGAGGAAGAGTGAGAGGCAAAGGCAGGGGGAGAGGCAAAGGCAGGGGGAGACGGAGAGGCAGAGGCAAGGGGAGATGGAGAGGCAGAGGGAGAGGGAGAGGCAGAGGGAGAGGGAGAGGCAGAGGCAGAGGCAGAGGCAGAGGCAGAGGCAGAGGCAGAGGGAGAGGCAAAGGCAGGGGGAGACGGAGAGGCAGAGAAAGCGGGAGAGGCAGAGGGAGCGGGGAGGCAGAGGGAGCGGGGAGGCAGAGGGAGAGGGCAGAGGCCAGAGGCAGTGGGAGAGGGGAGGCAGAGGGAGAGGGCAGAGGCAGAGGCAGAGGAAGAGGGAGAGGCAAAGGCAGGGGGAGACAGAGAGGCAGAGGAAGAGGGAGAGGCAGAGGGAGCGGGGAGGCAGAGGGAGAGGGCAGAGGCCAGAGGCAAAGGGAGACGCAGAGGGAGAGGGGGAGGCAAAGGCAGGGGGAGACGGAGAGGCAGAGGCAAGGGGAGACGGAGAGGCAGAGGGAGAGGGAGAGGCAGGGGGAGAGGCAAAGGCAGGGGGAGACGGAGAGGCAGAGGCAAGGGGAGACGGAGAGGCAGAGGGAGGGGGAGAGGCAGAGGGAGAGGGAGAGGCAGAGGAAGAGGGAGAGGCAAAGGCAGGGGGAGACAGAGAGGCAGAGGAAGAGGGAGAGGCAGAGGGAGCGGGGAGGCAGAGGGAGAGGGCAGAGGCCAGAGGCAAAGGGAGACGCAGAGGCAGAGGGAGAGGCAAAGGCAGGGGGAGACGGAGAGGCAGAGGCAAAGGGAGACGGAGAGGCAGAGAAAGCGGGAGAGGCAGAGGGAGCGGGGAGGCAGAGGGAGAGGGCAGAGGCCAGAGGCAAAGGGAGACGTAGAGGGAGAGGGGGAGGCAAAGGCAGGGGGAGACGGAGAGGCAGAGAGAGAGGGAGAGGCAAAGGCAGGGGGAGAGGCAAAGGCAGGGGGAGACGGAGAGGCAGAGGCAGAGGGAGAGGCAAAGGCAGGGGGAGACGGAGAGGCAGAGGCAAAGGGAGACGGAGAGGCAGAGAAAGCGGGAGAGGCAGAGGGAGCGGGGAGGCAGAGGGAGAGGGCAGAGGCCAGAGGCAGTGGGAGAGGGGAGGCAGAGGGAGAGGGCAGAGGCAGAGGCAGAGGAAGAGGGAGAGGCAAAGGCAGGGGGAGACGGACAGGCAGAGGCAGGGGGAGACGGAGAGGCAGAGGCAGAGGAAGAGGGAGAGGCAAAGGCAGGGGGAGACGGACAGGCAGAGGCAGGGGGAGACGGAGAGGCAGAGGCAGGGGGAGAGGCAGAGGGAGAGGGAGAGGCAGAGGAAGAGGAAGAGGCAAAGGCAGGGGGAGACAGAGAGGCAGAGGAAGAGGGAGAGGCAGAGGGAGCGGGGAGGCAGAGGGAGAGGGCAGAGGCCAGAGGCAAAGGGAGACGCAGAGGGAGAGGGGGAGGCAGGGGGGGAGGCAGGGGGCAGAGGAGGAGGCAGAGGAAGAGGCAGAGGGAGAGGAAACCTACACAGACGCTGGGAGAACATGCAAACTCCACTCAGAAAGGCCCCATTCCCACCGCTTCACAAGGAACAATGTAATTATACATCACATAATAAAATAATACATGTTTGGACGAATAAAACAAATTGGAGTACGAGATGAGTAGAATGGGCTAAGAATCCCATCCAGAGATAGAAGTAAGTAAGTAAGTAAGTAAGTAAGTAAGTAAGTAAGCTTTATTTATATACCGCCTTTCACAGACCAGAGTCACAAAGCGGTTTACAATTGTTATTTTTGGGCACTTGTCCTCTCACTCCACACAAGGATGGGAGCGGGGTCGCCGAACAGGAGGCGCATGCCAGACCTATTGTACATATTTTTAGTGGTAGGGGAAACCGGAGTACCCGGAGGAAGGGGTAGGTACACACACAAGAAGTGTGTGTACTTTAAGAAGGTGTGTGTGTATTTGTCTGTGGTGCATGCTGGGTGTTTTATTGCACAGTTATTCACAGTTATGTGGTTTAAACCGCAAAAGGAAATTAAAGTGAACTGAAGTGAAGTCAAGAGGGAAATCACATTCTGCTAGATTTAGATCTCAATCCAACATGATGCAATGTAATGGAACATCTGCAAGTAAATAAAAACATAAACATACTTTTATTTTGTTTTCTTTTAAGTATGTCAATTGACTGGAAAAATTCCTAAAACCGGATTTCAAAAGCGAAGCAAAGTTTATTTAAGTCTATTAAAAGAAGAACACCTATACATACGTTTGGTAATAATGAAACCATTTACTTTGTCATTTCATGTTTTATGTTAGATAATATTTCAAGTTAAACCAGTATGAAGGTATAGAGCCCTGCACTTGAGCCCTAGGCCCGAAGGGCCCGACAGCCCGAGGTCCGGGCTTCGGGCCGATGACCGTATAATTACCTCAGACACGGGCACCGTTCACTCTAGCCGTACACACAGACTCATTGCAACACATCACCACCATGTATAACTCCGCCCTCTAGCCGGGCCTAAGTAAGTAAGTAAGTAAGCTTTATTTATATACCGCCTTTCACAGACCAGAGCCACAAAGCGGTTTACAATTGTTATTTTTTGGGCAATTGTCCACTCACTCCACACAGAGATGGGAGCGGGGTCGCCGAACAGGAGGCGCATGCCTGTATTCATATCAGTGCGCGGCACTATATACTACTAAAATAGTTGTCGACTATTTCAATAATCGATTAGTCGTCGATTAATCGATTAGTTGTTTCAGCCCTATACTACGCTAAAACATTGTTAGGGGAAGTCAAAAAAAAAAAAGTCTGATACGTGTTCGGGCCTGAGAATTCTGAAAGCCTGTCGGACCGGGCTGGGCTGGCGCTCCACCCCCTCGGGCCCAGATAATAGGCCCACGCAAGGCACTATGAAGGTATCGAGGAATCTCCCTGCATACTGGTTTGTTGTTGGTAGTTTGCTTAGATATGGTGCCAGATACTAAGCACAATGGAGAGTAGAGTAGAGTAGAGAAGAGACGGGCCAAGTAGAGCGATGGACAATGTTTCAAAAGTAATCTAGAGCCAGTTTTAGAGTAGAAAAAACACTGCACTAAAATTAGCTCCATATTTTGAAACTTTCTCTGCGATGGGACTACAGTGAGCTCTGAAAAGTGTGAGATGGACATATGGTATGGGTGTGATGCTCTTACCCTCCAGCACGACTGCCTCCGGTGTTTGCCATTGTTGTAGGCACGACTGTGGGCGTCAGACAGGGTCACCGAGATGAAGTCCTTCCTGGAGGGGGAGTACATCCTCAGGCCCCGCGCTCCACATAGACACAACCCTGGACCAGAGAGAGACCAGAGAGAGTGACCAGAGAGTGACCAGAGAGAGACCAGAAACAGTGACCAGAGAGAGTGACCAGAGAGAGTGACCAGAGAGTGACCAGAGAGAGTGACCAGAGAGTGACCAGAGAGAGTGACCAGAGAGAGTGACCGGAGAGAGAGACCAGAGAGACACCAGAGAGAGACAAGAGGGACACAAGAGGGAGACCAGAGAGAGACCAGAGACAGTGACCAGAGAGAGTGACCAGAGAGAGAGACCAGAGTGAGACCAGAGAGAGACCAGAGAGAGACCAGAGAGAGAGAGGAGGGACACAAGAGGGACACCAGAGGGAGACCAGAGAGAGACCAGAAATAAACCAGAGAGAGACCAGAGAGAGATCAGAAAAAGAACAGATAGAGACCAGAGCGAGACAAGTCAAAGACCAGAGTGAGCAGAGAGCGTGTCAGGAGAGTGACATATAGAGAGACAGAGACCAGAGAGAGACGGAGAAAGAAAAGGGCATCATGAAACAGCAGCAGGACAAAGTGTGAAAGGCAGAAGTTCATCCTTTCCATCACATTTTTAATAATGCATTGATACAGACCAGAGAGAGACCAGAGGAAGACAAGAGGAAGACCAGATAGACCCACTCCTTACACACTCCTTACCAAACCTCTGACCGTTTTACAAGATCTCTCTTCATGCGATACGATTGCAAATACAATGACATACGGGTTTTCTCATCAACAATTAGCCTTTACACTTGACTCCCATGGGTGTGACATTTCTCTGAAGGGTTCTTTCATTCCCAGAGCGCAGACCTTATTGTACACAGACCATATGTGCTCTGATTCTATTTTCATGGACAAGGAATTGTATTTTTGCCAATATGATTTTTTTGAATGGTGGATACATTTGTCATTTGCAATAAACTTCCTCGACCTAAGTGTTGACAAAACCTAGTTTAAATGTGCCAAATCTTTGCTACTTAAAAAAAAAAAATTGACAACTGTGATTTTGCAAAACATAATAAATTGTCATATTCAATTTAAAACGCATACTTATTTTCATTCTGCTAAAGGCTTCAATTTCCAGTTTAACCTCATGTTTGTCTTTGGGTATGTACGGAATGTTGCATGTTCAGAAAAAAAAGACTACATCCTCGAGGAGTAGCCCAGAATTCTATTGTTGTGGTGAGCTTTGTATAATTTTCACTGAGATCAGATTCACTTCCTTTTCTGGGAATGATCGAAAACACCCAGCTCTCACTTCACAATCAACTTAACAAGTAAAAAAGTAAAAAATACATGTTCTCACTCATTATAGGTACAGATACATGCAAACATACAATATGGAGCCACCTGCATATGACAGCCCAATCCTGCCAAACCTCTGACCTAAGCAGAGCAGGGCCTGGTTAGTACTGTGATGGGAGACCTCTATCAACACCAGGTGCTACAGTGGGGCGACTGCGGCTGTAAAGTGCCAAACTGTTGTTGTGTTCTTAGGCAAGTCACTTCATCCACATTGCCTAGAATGAATCTGGTGGTCAGAGTGACTGATGGCACTGGTCAGTGTGCCCCAGGGCAGCTGGGGCTACAGTAGTAATTTAGGAATGCAGTGAATGAATAATGTGAAGTGTCTTTAGTGTGTCCACCAAAGCGCAGTATAAAACCAATGCATTATTACAACCATAAACCTTAACCTGGGACCAAGACAATTAAGAAGTTTCATGTAGTAGTAGTAAAAGTAACAAGTTGTACATGTTGAAGTCGTGAATATAATTAATTAACTACAATATCAGGTACCCCTTTAAAGCTGGAGTACCTAACTTTCAATCCACAAAATTAGAACTATGTAATAAAATCCATTTAACCATAGTTCCTGGCTATAAAACACGTTGGTTCCACTGGTTTTATATATTAATGCCCTCTGTCACATATTTAGATCAGCTTTCTCAAGGCAGGAAAGTGACGTAGAGAGGACCACCCTGTCAGCCAATCAGTCTCATCCCAAAGCTTCAAATAATGACTCACAGGGCTCTTTGTGACAAGCTACAAAACATAACCTACCAATAAGATGGTCTGATTTGTTCCCTTTTTAGAATACAATGTAATATAATAGTATATAATAGTTACGTACCCCAGCTTTAACAGCATCATTGATAAAAGGGAAACATACGATAAATAATAAAAATAAATGGTGTTCTTTACCTCGGTGCACCTCTCTGCAGAAGGATGCTAACAGATGCTAACGGATGCTAACAGCTGGAGCTAGCCCTGTTTAGCATCGCTCTTCCGGGTCCTTTCGGCGGTGTTTGGGTGCTCAGAGGGCCGCAGAGGAGAGAGCTGGAGCCGGGTGTTGTGCAGAGGGTGGGCCGTGGATGCTGGAGCTCGGATAAGAGCAGGAGGTGTTTGTATGAAGCGACAGACTGAGGCGTGAGGCGGATATAAACACAAACAAGAGCAGTGACAGCGAGGGACACGTGACTGAGCACATGGGGCACGCGACAACACGAGCCCCAATTTTTTGTTAATATATCATGGACGTCGGAACTATTTTCTGAGAGGGGGGGCGGGTTTTTGTTGGGAGAGTCGAGGGAGAGACTCATACTTGGATTACACTGGATAATAACATACCATCTTAATTGTTAAGAAAAACAAAATAAACAATATATATCAAGCAAGTCACTTATCAAACTGAACTTTTTTTTTTTCAATACGCATTCATGCGTCAGTCTCTCCGGTGGCTTCATTGTGTTGTGTAGCCCAGTGACGTGCGGTCAGATGAGGCAGGCAAGGCCCTCACCTAAGATCATAGAAAGAAAAGTAATAAAATGGATACAATAATGTTTGGTCACTTTATCAAGTGATTTGTGCTGTGCCTTATTTCATTTATTTATACCTTGAAATCGCAGATTTGACAGAGCGGTGCTGTGAGGCGAGCCTCTCTTGGGAGACGTAAAAAGCAACAGTTCACAGGGAGAGTCCTGTGAGGTGCTATCAAACTGTTTTCCCTGTTTATCACAGTTTAAAAAGTTCAAAAATATTTAATTTACAATCAACATGTTTACATTTAAGAGGATGGCTCATAAATTGTGTTTTTGAAGCAAATATGGGTCTTAATCGCGCTCAACCACAGCTTGTAAGTGAGGAAAGCCTCAAGGGGGCGCTTGTGAGCCCAAACTTTGGCTGCATCCAATTCCATCAGAAAGCTCCTTTCTTGTTCTTCTTCTGCTAAGGGCAGCTACAGGTTTGGCTAACATACCTATAATACATTTTAAGATAATTTAAAATGCACTTAGAGTAATTTTTTGCTTCCAATGATGATATGAATCATAAGAAAAGGAGGTGAAGGGTAAGGTTGAATTTAGAAATTGGATTTACCCGGGAGTCGGCTGCAGCAAAACTCGGAGTTTACGGAGGAGACACCCGTTTTTTTTACTTTTTAAAACTCATTGAACTTATTTCCAAATGGAGGATTACATGTCTGTGCCCAAACTATTATCTGGACTTAAACATGAAACTGGTCCTAACTGAAGTGGTCTGTGCTGTTCATTAATACCTAAGGTAAGGCCCATAACACACTTTGTACTATTTACAAACGTTTGCGTTTTGTATGAGAAAACAATGCAGACATTAAATCATATTCTGCTGTAGCCAAACAAATTGTGTATAAGCCGCTCCTGTTCCTGTAGGTCCTGTTGGTTTATATGATGTATAATCATATGAACACATGATTGATCCCCCACCGCACGTCACTGGTGTAGCCAGGTCTCTAATCTGAGGCTGAGAAAGAGCGCTCAGAGGCTGCGACAGATATTAGCCAGACAGAGCTTCATAAGCTTCTCCGACAGCATGGAGCGGGTTTTGGGCTGCAAGGAACGCAGGATAGTGATAACTTCTCGCTCCCGGCACACGCGGAGGGGGTGCGGCCGCACCCCCCGCACCCTTAGTTCCGACGTCTATGTAATATATATATATATTTTTTAAATAAATGCTTTTGTAGCCTTTTCTCTCAGTTTTATGGCAGGAGCTTTGGCTTGTGCCCACATTTTTAATTAGTTCCGTTTTGTATATGTCGCATCTACAGTATAAATGTTTACAGTCTGTGATCTACAGTCTGATCGCGTCCAGACATGTCCAAACTACGGCCCGCGGGTCAAATGCGGCCATCTGTGTCCTTTCATGTGGCCCCCTGCCTTGCTAACATAATGCAGTATTTGAAATCATAAACAAATGTTCACAATGTCATCCAGCCAACTTCAGCTCTACCTATGTAAGCATGTTAAGATTGTAAATTACCCACATTGGGCACATTATTAAAGGTTCCATATTACGCCTTTCTTCATGTTTCACAATCCATCTTATGCACATGTGTGATAGTAATTTGAGTGATACGCCATACAATACTCAAAACTTGTGAGATTATAGCCATCTCTTGTATAGAGGTGACGTCACCTCGACTCAAACAGGCTGATCCAGAGATCAGTTCGCTCCTCTGTCCATGAGCCCATCTCCGCCCGCCCGCACGATGACGTAGCCTCACGCTGTGAGTTGTTTATCCTCCAGTATAGTCATTTCAGACCTGTGAATAAACTTTTTCCAAAAATGACAATCCCTCACATTGAGCCCTGTGTCCTCGATCCAGAATCAGACCCTGATTATTTAGTTTACAGAAGTATACGCCGAATTAGCGTCACTGAACTCACAGATCGGGGGCTCCGTGTGTTAGCGTCTTTTATCACGGGAATAATACTGGTTTCCAGATCAGCTTTTGAGTAAGTCCAGTTCCATTGTCCCTCTAGTTCTGGAACAGTCTTAGTGAAGTGTCGCAGATGAACACATTCATTCTAACAGAGGCAGATCCACGTGAAAAAGTCGAGCCGCATTCTTCCTTTTTGGGCCAAATAGTGCGACACATATTTACACCCAAAAACACATTTTCTCCAAGTTGACGTGATCCTAACACTTTTAGCCGCTGACAAAAGCAGAAAAACGGCAGCTCCATGTGGTGTCCGCGGGACCAAACCACAGACATAAACTGGACTTGGGAGCTGGCTGCGCGCTCTGATTTCTATCTGTCAATCACCTCCCGGCTTATAGTATTTTTATTATTTTCATAATTTTTGACAACAAACAGCATACTTATTGTGTATTGTTTTCCCTGTTTTGACAACAGTATTTAAAAACCATTTTACATACGAAAGAAAACGGGCTTCTGTGCGTCATATTGGTCATCAGAGTGGTAATGGTCACAGAAGTGGATCCGGGCGTTTCACTGCCTCTCGAGGCTGAAGGAGAAAGATCTCTGGGCATGTGTATGAGGCCAAATAGCACTGTAATTATGTTTAAAGCAGAGAAAAGTCAAAAAGCGTAATATGGGACCTTTAAAGGCGTCATCGGTTCATTCAGAACCAGAATCCAGTTTACTTTATAATCGCGGGGGTAACGTTCTGAAAATAAAATAATACTACAAGTATAAATTATATACACACACATATAAGGAGCTAGTTCTGCTTAATTAACACGTTTTGTAGAAATTTGCCTTTGTCAGAGGTGACATGTGACGGCCTCTTTTGTCAATGTTAATGTCAAAGTCAGCTTTATTTGTATGTCACATTTACAACAATACCAGCAACTAAAATAACAGATCAGCTGTTGTTAACTGGTGTTTTTGATAAGGGAGCAAAAAATATACCATGGATTGAAATAAAAGGATGTCATTGTTTTGCCAGTAAAATAGAACGTTTAAATTAATGAAACAAAGTGCTTTAAGTGCATCAGCATTCAGAGGACATGGCACTTCTCGACACTGAGTAATGCATGGGCTCCACTACAAGACCTAAGTCTAAAAATCAATATGAAACAGGAGAAATTAAATGAGCCCCAAACCAGTGAGTAATCCCCAAAATCCATGAACTCCTAATGATTTAGAAAAACTCACAGGTCCAAGTTTGAGAAGAAATGACAAGTTGTGCTTCGTCCTGTTTTGTATGTGCAAGCGCAATGTCATAAATCAAATTCTGTTTTACCCCATTTCAGAGAGACGCGAGCGCCGGAGCTGGGTTTTGATAACGTCTATTGCAAACACACAGAGCAGGTTCTCTGTGAGGACATACGGATAAGACAAGTGCGTCCCCTCACTGGAGCGTGAAGTCGACAAAATGTGTTTCATATTTATTCAGATATTGTTCCAAAAAATATGCAGTGAGAAGCCAAGGTATAATAGTTCTCCTGAGGGTTTCAAATACGGCCGCACATCGCAGTAGCTTGAACTAGAATGCTGGATTAGAGAAAATATAGACAAATACTGTATATACTGCTACGTTGCTCCCAAGTGACTTATTTTGGAGCAACATAACTATTGAGATTTTACTTTTTTATTTTCTTTAATAATCATACTGGCAACGGATCACAAACTTGTTATTGAACAGAATATGAACAAATGATGAAAAATATTTGGAAGAAATAGGGAGCTAGAGTGAGTTGGAGCCAAACTTTGTCCATGAGCACTTCCCTACTGGCCTTTACTGAGCTAGGGGAGAAGCACTGTCCATCTGTATTCAAGCTATGGTCAAATGCAGAGGACAAATTTCCCAACAGAGACTAAAAAATATACCTAAATATCGTTATGAGCCTCCTAGACACCTCTATCACATATCACACATAATCATAAACCAGGAAATTACCGGTATGCTGTTTGTTGTCAAAAATTATGATAATAATAAAAATTATATAAGCGGGATGGTGATTGACAGGATAGAATAGAGTGCGCAGCAGGTCGCCAAGTCAGTTTATGTCTGTTGGTTTGTCCCGCTGGAAACTTGGTGATGCTTGCCGTTTTTCTGCTTGTTGTCAGCAACGGCCCTTTAAAAGTGTTGTTTGGTGATCACGTCAACTTGGAAGTAAAGATGTGTTTTTGGTCGTGTAAATATGTGTTGCATGTTGGCCAAAGAGGGAATAGATATGCGGCTTGATTTTTCTACGGTGATCTGCTCTGTTAGAATGATGTGCTTCAGTGCAGGACACTTACTAGGATGTTCATGACTAAGAGGGACTCATGGTACTGGACTTATCAAGTAAGTTGTGATCTTGGAAACCAGTATTATTCCCGTGATAAAAGGACGTAGAATCACGAGCCCGATTGGAGTTCTAAGTGATTCAAGCGTAATCGGTTTAATACTTCTGTAATAATTAAATCGGGTTCTGATTGGATCGAGGAATCAGGGCTCTATGAGAGGGATTGTATTTTTAGTGAAAAAGTTTTTCACAGGTCTGAATGACTATATGGATGGATAACCAATCACAGCGTGGGATATCGTCATGTGGGGGCGGGCGTTCGAGGGATCTTATGGAAGTAGGATGTGCGTACTGAGTCTTGGATTCGCTGTTTGAGTCTCTCAGTCCAGGGTTAACAGCGGTGTCTATAGCTTTAACACAAAGAGAACGTATACAAGGTATACAGCAGCATCCCTACAACCATTATTATTGCAAAGA